ATTTATTATCTTTGGTTCCAGTAGCTCAATAGATACTTATCGTCGCAAATATCTACTGCGTATAGGGAAATGTGATCATTTCTACTGATAATTCACTACTATTTTTTAATTGATTGATTGATCAATTGGAAAATTTACTTTTGATTATAATAGTCATTTTAAAATTTACTTGCCTTCTGATTAATATCTGCACAAAGACTCGTTAATGGTATGCATGAAACAGCAAGATAATAATTGAGCCATGCAAATAGATGATTAAAACATTAGCGATTAGCGCTAGCAAATTTGAATTATTAATGGTGCAGCATTGCCAAAAACTTTTATAATTATAGTATGAAAGATATCATTATTTAGTTAAGATACTTTAGCTCAAGAAAGTTAAATAGGCGCTGTCACAAAACAGCTTCGCAACAAGATAAGGTAATGTACGATCAATAAGTCAATTCCTTGAACTATGTATCAAGGAACCATATCTGCACTATAAGAAACACTCTTGCTCTACTAGCAGACTACACAAAGACTTAAACGCCTCGTATTTTACCTTAAACACTAAGTTTAAGAATCGACTTTATTACACGATATACTGCATTTATATACTCTTCCTCAATATTTCATGAGCCATAGTTAGTACGATTAACTTTGGAATCATTTACTGAATTAGATATTAATTATAGCTACTGTTCCCTTAATGCAGACAACAGTATTTACGAACATAGACATCTGGTGACTAATACAGAATAGTCAGATTACGATATGCTCTATCACGGAACATTTCCACGATAATTTACAATCTACCATAAGTAAATTACAATCACAATGATTCGAACTGTAAGTAGATGATTTGCATTCCCTATTATAACTATTAATTTCAGTATGTGTATAAGTGTCACTGTTATAAAAGTCAGAGCTATATTGAAACACAGTATATCCAAATTAGAAGTTAACTAAATAAGGATAGGCTAACAAAATTATCCTAACATAGATATTTCTACTCTAATCCAGTATATAACACTGTTACAGGCGCGTATATAATATTGTGATAGGTACTCAGTAGTTGAGTGTTCAAATCCTGCTAGTGTAATTATTGTAGCGAATATACAGTATTATTTATCATAATGAGGTAACCGTTCCAGGATATAAGCACAATTTCAAATTATCTAGTAACTGCTAGTAAGTCCTGTACATATTATGTTATCAAGCTGTACTTCTGACGTAAAGCTATACGAGTGTAAAATCTGTCAACTAGCTTAAAAAAGTAACAATAAATTATTCAATAGCTTGACTTTTTGTATGCTCACAACATAACTCGAGAAATCAAAGTATTTGCAAGCTTTTTTACTCAAACTTTTTAGTAAATAATCATTGTAACTTTTACATTTTGGAGTGTAAATTTTTCCCTTTCTATTGATAAAATACTCCAATTTTGAATCAAATGAATACTTAATGTACATTACGATAACATCTTTCGTTAACTTAAATGATTAAACATGCTCCATTACATTGATCTAGTCTCCAGTGATAGTGGATAGTTAATAATAAAAATTTACTTTGTTAAAATACAGTAAATTTCATAATTGTAACATATATATTTAAATATTTTATTTAATATACCATTAACTATTGCACTAAATTTAATTATATCTCACGATAGTAAGATTCATTTTCATGTAGCAACTATCCAAAATTCTAATTTCTAAATATACTTGTACATTACAATAATTAATTATTCATACTGATAAATTAGCGATGTCATGGTAAACAGGAAGTGATTCAAGTTATGCTTGCGGTAAAGCGATCATTTTTTAGCAGGCTTGCTATACAATAGTTTTAAAATAAATTCATTAATTTATTTGTATAGAAAATTCAATATATTTTTAGCTAATATTCAATTGTAATGTAAATATAATGAAAATATCTGCTTTTAAAACCAAATCTGCAGAAATAATTTTTTTCACTATCGTAATAATCTAAAATTATTAATCGAGAACATTATTACTATCTTTCCTAACGAGTAAGAACTATAAAACGGTAATTTAATATCCAATAGCTTGTTAAGTACTCTTCAATAAAATCTTTGTAAAATTCTCTTGACCTTCTCTCCAGTGCCAAAAAATTAAAATTTCTCTGCTTTAAAATTAAGATGAGAGGACACGTAGATACCTGAATACAATGATTTAACTTTAGTTATCTTTCGATTTTGATAACGTTTTCGAACAGACGAACTGATTACTTAATGGTGTTCATCAATTTTGTTCATGATGCTCATCAAATACTGGATATCTTGTCTATTCAGATATTTCAACCAGTTTTACATCTAATAACTCTATAATAAATATAGCACTGCTGTTGAAAGTTCTTTTATGCATTTACAAAATCAGACCCGGTAAGCTATTACCTCGAATTAAGAATGCTCAAAAATGTTTTTGTTTTAATTACGCTTATATACTGCTATATAACTATCAATAAAAATGTTATAGATCACGCAATAGGTCATACCGTGTATATACACTACTGTTACGATACTAGTCATCGTATCTTGTAAATTAGTTTGTTAGTCTCTATAAAATTATTTATTACTTGAAGTATTAATTGAAAAATCTAGATTAATTATTAGCACCGGTAAGAGTTGCTATTAATTAATGTTGTTAATTAATATAGTGGTGCTGAGCCTCTAGTTGTTAATTAGCTAATAATGGTGATAATTGATTGATGTTGTTTACACCCGATTTATATTAATTGATGTTGTTTACGCCTTGACTCGAGTCATACTGAGTCATATAATAATTGTAATCCTGTTTCTCATACTTAGTGAGTAAATTGTATTATATGTGTTTCTCTACTTTGCACCACCTACATGTGGCGACTGTATATAAGCCCGAGCAGAAAATATATCGCTCAGTTGATACTTCTCTAGTGTACGACAAGGTACTCTACTCTCGTGGCATGACCAGAAGTAAAAGCTCATAAACTAATCTTACAACAAGCCGCTTATTATACTTGTGAGGAAGTTGTTAGTCTTGCTTACAGTATCTCTCCATAGTTAGTTGGTGACTAGTAGCTAGTAAGTTAGTTGTTCACTCACATTAAAAGAGAGTAGTAAGTGGAATTACTCGTGTGGGTGACAACTACATAGTCTAATCAACGACAGGAAGTTGTCATGCAGTTACTCTTAAAAAGACTTCGTAGCTTAACAGAAATAGGATTCTTTCAATGCTGCTAAACAAAACAAGCTCTCCAAAATTCTATACAAATCGTAGTGTACCAGCCTATATAGAAATTTACGCACAGTGTTTGCACACTAGAATAGAATATTAATAAGAGCATAAAATGGTACGATTGAAATAATTACGTACGCAAATCTCTCCGTCATGACTTTACTTCATAATGTACTAATCACTTTGTCAGCAAAATTTTTGCTTTACTTCTATTTCAGGAAATACTGCTTCAGATATTGGATCAAATTCAGCTTATGTCTATAATTTAATCGTATATTTGTATAGACAATAGCTACGCTATTTTGATCTGGCCTACCCTATTATTAATTTGTTATTAATTTTCAAGGTACGTAATAATTTAATAAAGTTTTACACGGAAAAGTATAATTTTCTTAATCGCAGTTATAATCTAAGGACTGAATTACGCAATTAAACATCCAATCGATAATTGTAGTTATATTCATACCATATGTTATTACTTTAGCAACGTCAATCTTAATAATATTCTTTTAGAGTTAAGGATGAAAATCCCTTTTAAGGAAAGGTAATTTGAATTTGAATTCGGTTATACTCTGTATTTGCTATTAATTAGTAAAATACTTGCGTGAGTAATAATGCAGCCTAGCATCTAATTAATTTTGGTTAAAACATCGCGATGGAGCTTTCTTACGTTGTACGAAGAGCAATCATGCTATTAATAAAAGCTGCTAATTAATACAAATGCTTTTGTCAAGCATCCCTGCCTATAATGGTCTCTACTCGCAGTCAAACTCCAACATGTTCCTAAAGTAAATAGTATAGGTGTAGATTGTATCCTTTTCTTACACAAATCTGACAAAGCTGTTCAGAAACTGTATATAAGAATAATTACGGTAATACATGCTACGATTTTACAGTGATCACCGGTAGACCTTGAAACCAATAAGTTATCAACATTACTGAAAACGCGATTTGAAATTAAAAGCAAATGTTGTAGTCACAAATATACTTTCAATATCGGAAACAAATATAAATTGAAGTAAAGCCTGTTTCCGTAGAATAATTAAGAGTAATCGAGGTATTAGCCAAAGATTTATACTTTAAAATTATAGCTAAAAATTAAGATCTCCATATGCCAAGTTGAGTCTTGAGGAATACTCATAACGCACATAAAATTCATAAATTTGCACATTTAGCAGCTATACCTCATGAATATTCACACCCATTTTATACATATATTTTACAATACTGATTTTTTAAATTTACTGATTTTCATACCAAGTTAACGCATTTTGAAATCCTGAATTTATAATATTGACATTCTCTATCGGAACAGACATATTCTCGTATTTAACTACCGTATCAGCAGCTCGCACTACTTTGATACCATTAAAGTTTCTTATTGGATGAAAAGATAAAATGGATCTTGAAGTTAATTAAGGTAAGTCAGATAAAGTTCTTTACATTGTTTCCATATTTTAAAGTAAAATCTCTTCTTAATTACCAAAAATCCAGAAAGAGGTATGTGAAGAAGACAATACAACTTATCTTAGACCATAGTTTCGTATTATAGATAAAGCTCGATGGTTTACTTTTCCATGATGCTATAATAATTTTTTAAATAAATAACTAGAATCATTTAAGATCTCCGCCTCTGCTAGTATTCGGAATGCTATCCATAGTAGGACAACATGTTAATATCGTTGCCACCAATAGACGAGTATAGCCTAGAATTAATATCAACAGGCTAGATAATTTCGTAATTATGAGATAAACTGCAATGATTTACAACTGTATCCTCCATTGCTACACGGTTGCTTCTCGAATAATACATTCTTTAGGTGCACAATTTAACTGGTTAGCTTTACTAAGATTGCTACGATCGGTTTCGCCATATTTTGCACTTTGGTAAGTCTTGTTACTCGCTTCTTGACCAATAATATATTTCCGAAATGGTAGGCATTGCTTTTGTATACCAGTATTGAAATAACCATACAAGATAGCATTAGAGACGATAGCAAACATTTGTATCACTGCCAAATAATTTTTAATGCTGACGAAATCGCGCCGCGATACGACGTGAATAATAAATAGCAATAAATAGATAACATAAGGCAAATTACATGCCACAAACAGCACAACACAAGCAAAAAATATGTTGGCAACACGTTCTCGATGTTGTGTATTAATCTCGGAAAATGATCGAATGCGATATTCTGGTTCATAACGTTGTAGCTGTTGACGTCGAAAATGAGATGACGTAAAATGCCGAAACTTGGTACGTTTTAAGTAACGAATTGTTAAGGTATACAAGACAGTCATAGTTAGAAATGGTACTGTATAAGCAACGACTAGATAAACGATAGCGTAGATAAAGTAAATTATGCTAACATATTTACCATCAATATTAAAATCAATAGGGGTTCTTGGTATAAGTAAAATACAATATTGCGTATCTTGTTGATAAGTTACAACACGCAAGTAAAGCAAGTAAGGAATGCACATACCTAATGCACAAATCCATATTGTACAAATAACATAAAAGGCACGACGATTATTTAATTTTAACTTGAATTTTAGCACATTATTTAAGCCTTGATACCGATTAATACATATTGCAACTTGTGTAAAGGAAATTAAATGAATGGATAATAAATTGACGGTATTATAAATGATGCACATAGCTTCACCAAATAACCAAACATTTTGAGTAACATGTTGAGTTAATATAAACCATGGAATATGAAAGACAGATACAATTAAACCGGCAAAAGCTAGGTTAAGCAGTAGCAAATTACTAGGCGTTTTCAATTCTTTAACACATGAGATTAATAACATTATGGTCAAATTGGATATAAATCCAAATAAGCCCAACGCACTATAAATACCCACAAAACCAACATGCAACAGAACTGTATCATTGCTAGTATTGGTATCGCCGTTAAGCTTAGATTGATCTAAAACAGTGACTGTCTGCCATGCTGATGTAGAATTCCACTCCATTTTATTCTAATAATCTTGTATGGGCTAGAAGAAAGTTCACCTTGCAACCGGATCAAGTCTGGCTATTTCGTCAGTTTTATGGGCTTTAGTTGATGATATTTAGCATGTGCTCCAATCTAAGATGCATACATATAATTAACATATTTTAATATTAATCATAGCAATATGACATTCGGTATGTATTCCAGTCTGAGATATATATAATATATAATTAATACATTTTTTGTTAATTGTGACGATAGCAAATTTATTAAATGAGAGATGTCACTGTTTGAATACTAAAATTAGTCAGACAAAAATGATTAAAGAAGAGATTGGACGTTTTCGCTGAAGTTGTTTATTGTGTAACACCAGTAAGAAGTGATATCTAGAAATGAGCATCTGTAATGATTGTAAAGAAATACAAGCACATTAATATAAAATGATATTCATTAGGAGCTAGGACTACTCTGTCTAAAGGAAATATTATTCTGAAACAAATAAGTCTAGGGTAGTAGATGTTTAACGCCAGAAAAATTTTCGAATTTAAAAAGGTGTGAGGTTGATACATCAAGAATCTTCAAAAAAACTTTAGTAAATTAAGATTTATTGAACAAAACCTCGTTTACGAAGATACAACGTAATCAATTAGCTGAGGACCTCTAACGAGAAAGAACTAACTTACTATACTAAACTACTCGCTTATATACCTTTCCGCGTTTACAGTCTTAGCACCTTACTTACTACACACTTCAGTATTAGCATCTCAAATACAGGCTAGTTTACACCTTTCATGTGAAGCTCTAGTGTGAGCACTGTAGCGCTCCTCTTCAAAAGGATTACAGCTACTAAGCTAGCTATATTTAATACTTAAGCTTTTAACGAGTATATCTATCACATGTTGAACACAACACCTACGGTAGACATTACTAAATATATCATCAACTTAGAATACAATATTACACTGTCTTACAAAAGGCTATTTCTTTTTCAAAAGAAATACATGGAACTCTAATATTACATAAACGAATCAAACCACATGAATAAATAGGCAAATACACATGTTCATGGAATAATTACGTTATTCTAGGGAAAACTGAAGTGTCTTAGTTGCTATGCCTACACTATTGACCATCTTCCAATTTGCTCAAGTAAAATTAAATTTCATTTTCATACTTTTAGTAATACTTTTTCTCGTTTATTATGCTGTGTATTTAGTAGTAAGAAATATTATTGGAATAATGAGTATTGATATTCTCACATTATTATATGTAATCAAAGTTTTACCCTGATATAAAAGCATTGAAAATTACTAAGTAATGTTTATGTTTAACTTGTGTATCAGGAGTAATTTCTAAAACTATTCTATTAACAAGTTTCCAGCTTAATTTAATGGGTCATTTGAGTATGATACACCAATAAAAAGTTTATATATCCCGATGATAGCCCATTCCTCTTACTTTGCCAATGAATACGATCTAAGCAAGAAATACTTAATCGTAGATTACACCATTGCTTCTTAATTGCTATTTCAAGTAGTCTTGGATTAACAACATTATATTGATGCTATTATAATTTACTATTAACGTTATCGGCGCTCTTTACACAAAATTCTTGGCACTTTCACTCGAGAAAAATCAATCTAGGAATTTTTATAATTAGTAACTACAATATTTCAACTATACCACCGTTACGAAGATAAAATATTGTTTGGTTTACTGGTCCACTTAGCGTGCAGTAGAAATCGTCTTGTAGATTAATTATTCTAGCAAATTCTATCGACCTTTCGCTGTATTGTTCCGTAGTAATTTCGGCTAATTGTAGTAGTAATATGAAGTAGTCGTAATATGATGTAGGGTATTCTGTTATGCTTAGCAAAGTAATTATAGATGATGGCTAATATAGGTTGAAACGGCCGTTTATTACATACTCACCCCATTAACAATAATACTTTGGCTAAATCAGTATCAATACAGGATTCCTAACACGATTGAGTTATAAACGGTAAATTAAAAATTGTTTCTTAAGAAATCACTCAGTTGATATTCGCTATTTCGATTCATCGATATCTCGCTTGAAACAAACTATTTAGGATCATTACTTTATTTATCACGATTGTCGATAGTTATATTGCAATATTATCGGTATCAATTTTGTGACCATTTTCTCATGATGAAGATAATTTTGAGCTGAGATACGCGTGTTATTGAATATAGGAAGATCTTTTCAATACGCATGGTACTAAAAACAGTTATCTTTATAGTCCTTCTAATGATGTTCTTTGTTGATCGTATTTATGTTTGCGTTATTGAATTCTCATCACCCTTCCTGATATTACATTTAAAAAAATTTAAGAATTACAGTTTCACAATAAAATATTACTAAAATACCCTAATATAGACTACATAGCGTTTCAAATTTCATTTTGCGGATGCTATACACCGTATTTGTTTCTAATTTAACCAATTCGAAGAATTTTCAATTTAAGATTTTTTAATACAAGTAATTAATTTTTATCACCACATCACCTTTAAAACTTTACCTACCTTGAGGTTTATTGAAGACTTAGAATAGCTTGATATATCTGCATAGGCATCTACTGATGTTAAGTTAGAACATTACTATATTCGCGTATTTCTAGCTATCGGACGTTATTCAGTCTATGATGAGTTTCTCTCTAAATTGCTCATTTAGTGATCGAACTTCAGTAGCAATTTGAAAATATCAAGCAGCTTTGGCGAATACGGATAATACCCGAATAATTTGTTTTTACGAGATTGATTTATTCAATTGCTATAAGTATTAGACCACCTAGACACTATTTAATTATTTTCACTCAGGTTTACAGTATTTTCCATTTTGCTATTATTAACGGATTCTTTGAGATTTTATTTAGTTAATTAGCTATATCCTTTCTAATGATCTCGCTTCTATTGACTAGTAGTAATTACCGTGGCATAAGCTATAACACTATCATTCCCTTCAAATTATGGTCAAGCATTGCTGCAATAAAAGAATGAAAACATTGGACCAACTGCTAACTCCTAACCATGGGATTATATGGTTAAATGATAATCAACTGCGACAACTATTGTATTGGTAGTCACATAAAAATTTTATATCTAATATATTAATAACAAATTACTGAAGATCATAGTATTTGACCAATAAATGAGAAATCCGACTGATTAAATTCCTCATGTATAATTTATGGTTAATAAGACATCAAAATTCACCATCATACTGATGTCTACAACAGTCTCATGTCTCATCATGTGAATAAATGTAAGTCTTACAAAAGAAATGTAAGTCTTAAATTAACTATTAATTGTCTTCACATTGGCTAGAAGTAAAGCACAGGTTTTATCTGTGACTGGATTTCGATAGTCGATTAACGGTGAAAATATGTACTATGTAAAACGAATTAAGATGAATTTACTACCGTAAAAACAGCTGTACACACATAGTCTTATTCCACCTAAAATCGCCTAAACGTAACAGTTTGATTGCAAGTAGACCTGCTGTGATCGATAATAATACAGTAGTATCCCTGACTAGAGTCTAAATTAATACGAACCGTGATAAATTTTCATTTGATCAACAAGAAACTGTTTCATCATTAAATATCACCGTTACGCCACGGTATTCTAAACTGATTTTAAAATACACGGTGATGTTTGATTTCAATTTAGACAAATTTAGTGTATTTGGTTTAAACGATGCTAGTGATATAGCAATATAGACTCTATAGTGGACAAGACATATTTTTTTATTATAGCATTGATGTATTTGCTCAGCAATAGCATAAATATTTGAGGTCGATCTTAATAGATCTATAGGTACGAAGGGATATTAGAAATTATAACACAGATTCTGTAAAAAGATAAAGATCAAACTTTTAATTAAGATACTGTATTCGCTATATGAAAGGGTATTCAGAGTTAATACGAGTCTTCAATTTTACCCGTTCAGAAAATATTGTAATTTTTGTGGTATAAGTCTTTGACAGGATTCGCTAATATCCAAATTGTGTTGTCTTGTCTATTCGAATGATTGTTTAGGTAAATCAGAACGTGACATCAAATCTTAAAGCTGCTTCATAATTTTAGGAAGACCAGCGTATAAGTAATATCCTAATTTACTGCAACGTCATTTACTTGCAGTAGCATTAAAATTGTTTTAATTCAAAATCTATCGCAGCTTTATTTATAAAAAGTGTTTACAGGACACATCTTGAGGCGTAATTAAATGGTTATAAAGTATATCAACTAGAAAAATACTTCAGTTTTGAGACATGATATGAGTTAAATAATATGACATAAATAACATACCTTAATCTCTTAGCCGATCTTTAGATTTGGAATAAAGCTTTTAAGTGAAGAGCAGGCTTTTATCGCTATATCTGTACGATAGCTAGAAATTGGGTAGCTTATTTTGTAAATTTCTATTAGTATTTGTATCAGTTCTAGGTAATACTACCTATCTTGGCTTAAGTTAATTTGATAGAATTACTTTTATGGCAAATATTACGTATGACAACGCCTTTTTAGGTATATATAACCATCATAAAATAACAGAAATTTAGAGATTTAAACAATAGCAACTGGCCAGTTGGTAAAATGACGATGTGAAATTTTCATGTTCAATTGTTCGAGACAATGTTTTTGTTTCATCTTCCTATTATCATAATCCTCTATTTTACATTGCTATAATAACATATTACTCAGCAAGCTGTTTCATAAACATAACCCTTCCCATAACCGCTACTTATTGTCCATTCTTTAGTGTTCTATTAGTGATTGATAGCTAGATTTGAATATATTGATTATGTTGATATCTATAATAGCTTTCCGTTCTAAGCTTTAGAGGGTATTAACATGAATTTATGACGTCATTAAAATATCAAAATCTAATACTAATCTTGATGATTAGAATACGTTAGTAGTCTTACAATTCTTAGGGAAACTGGTAAATGATAATCTATATATGCAATAATCGATGAGAAAACGTTTACTTCTTTT